AATACATTTCTTCACTGTTTTCGGTGTTTGCTTGTTTTCCAGCAGTGAATTCAGATCCTGCACCAAATATTTAGAGTTTTAATTATTCTCTCAGTAATCTGATGTAATGAAAAGAAAATTCAAGGCATTCTAAGCAATTGGAGCTTTTTGGTTTGGTTTTGTTTTGGGTTTTTTTCAGACAGTAACTTCCAGTTTTTTTCAGACTGATAGCTTGTTCATGTAGAAGCTTTTTCATATTATTAACTGAAATCTTACTGAAAAGGCTTACATTTTTATATTTACAACTGACTCCAGCAAACCATTTGCTTACAGAATGTTCAAAAAGAATTGAACACAATGGCTACAGACCAACAAAAACTTCATGGTTACATGACTATGGTAACACAGCCACTTCTTCCAACGCTATGCTCAAACTTAAACCACTACCTCTTTTTCCCCTCCTTTCCTCCCTCCTTTTTCAGGCAGTTAGCACTCTAACTGCTCCCATAAGCAAGTCATAGCACTAAAATTAAAAACACAGCTCTTACAGTTTTAACAGGATTTTAAGGAAAGTATCTTACATATCTGATATTGCTTTTTTTAATTTATGCAGCAGGCAATGTGAATCAGAACTTTTCTATTATGCCATTAACATGTATAATCCATCAGATATCACTAAAAAATGTATTTGAAGGGCACAGACTCAAGTAACTCATACCCACAACTTTATCTTCTGCCTGGACAACTCTTCTAGGTGTAAAATTAATTATCTCAGTCTTGAAAATGACTAATGAATTAGAAACTGATGCTATGTTACCACTATCACTACCAGTGCTCATTCTACCAGGACAGCCAAGAAAGGTAGCAATAGCATCAACAAGACCAGCAGGTAGCTTCTGTGTTTAGGATGCACATCTCTTTTAGACCACCATTACTTAGGAACATTAGAAGCACATTTTTACGTTAGAAAATATGGCCTTTAAAAAAATAAAAATAAAACCAATCATATATTCTGCCATTTTATGAACACAATCTCATATTTCACTACCTCTTTCCTGCCTTGGCAAAAACAAAAGTTTTTTTCCTACCTCAACTTGCAGCAAAATATCTATGATAATTTCAGAAATTGAAGAATCCCCTTCTAGTTTGGCGGAGCAGAGAGACAGCTGACGAATGAGACTGCCCAGTTCCTTGTAGTGGGCAGGAATTTGCTCATCTCTTTGATCTGTAAACTGATTGGCAAATGCCTGCAAGGTTCGTACAGCTCCTCTGTGTGCTGCTGCCAACCTGGATACTGCTCGAGACTGGAAAAATGAAAAATAAATAAATACTTTAATAATTACAGTTTCTATGGACACTTATACTATTGGAAGAATTGTTGCTGAAATTTCATGCAGAAACACTCAGGCTTGGAATAATTTTGATTGATATTAAGCAATTTGTGAGACAAAACAAAACAGGCATTGAAGTAATTTACTCCAGATTCCCTACAAGAGTACTCCTATCAATTCATGCGGGCTTCAGGTAAAACAGCCTGGGTATAATAGGTCACGATGTTTCTACGACCTGTGCCAACACAGAACTGTAGTCATCTACAGCTGGCTGAAGCCTCATGTGCAACAGTTGCACAAACAATAATATTTTCAATCCTCCGTGTTTTGTTACAGAAGAAAATGCAGGTGATCGAAAAAGCACAAGAACAACAGGGCAACACTGGCCAGGCTGTAGGTGTGATCTCTGCTGCTCCCTTGAGAGGTGCTGGGCAGAGGAGAAAATCAGAAAGAAGGCTAGTAAGACTGAATGACATCAACCAGAAGGTTAAAAAAAGCAGTCAGGAGTAGAACACATTGTTAATTCCTTGCAAAAAGGAATTGGAATGAAGAAGGAATTAGAAGCCACATAAACTCAGAAGACCAACCACCTGCCTCTCATTTACTGTAGATGAGAGCTGAAGAGAAGAGGGAAGCAGCAAAGGCAGCATCAGGCCAAGTGAGCCATACTTCTTGAAGAATGAGAGGAAATGGGTAAGATACAAAGGAAATCTCCTTTCCAGCGAGGGCTCAGCTGCACCCTAGGCAATCAAACTCAGTTATGCAGAAAACTCTCTCAATAAGTCCCTTACAGCCTGAAGGATAATTACATTTTACCTTTTTAGTATGTTTGATTGTATGAGGACTCAGTTTCTCTAAATCGTCTTGAATTTCTTTTACCTGTTTATCAAGAAAGGAGACAGAGAGGTGCAAGTCAGTCAGAATTAGTTCCATGTCTACAAATGAACAAAAGATCTTCACTGTAGCATCTCAGATTTTCCAACAGTGATGCTCACCTCTCTGTCCAGCCATCAGGGAAATGAGTCACACCATTCAAATCTAAACTAGAATGCCAAGGAAGTTCAGAGATAACCCGATTGACTTTCTCTTGTTTCAGTTAGTTTCTGAAAAAATCATCACAACAAACTAAGCTCCTATGCATCCCAGTTTAAAATCACGGTTCCTACCTGTTGCTGGAGCACATACAGCATCCGAGCTGACCGTGCAGCTTGTTGCTGTCTCCTAGTGCAAAGCCGCTGCTCATTTTCAGGATCTAGTTCTCTATCTCTCCCTAAAAAGCAAAAATATAAAGTTTTATATCTTAATTTAACCCGTGAAAATCTCAATTAAATAATGACAACAGACATAATTCAGTAATAAGCCTTTTCCATGCAGAACCACACCACATATTTGTAGGGGTTCCTTTAACAGTAATGCAAGTTAGTTATTGTGAACTCTACATCCTGTTTCTATTTAGAATTTGACTAAATAGTCTCATACAATATAGCTCATTAGTTATTTAAAAAAACATGTGACCCTCTAGTTTTATGACAAAGTTGCAGATAAAGCACTAAAATTAAGAATGGTTAAACCTCCTGCTAGTTATTACAAAAGAACCAACTGCTTAAGCTGGCTTGCTATTCTTTCATCTACTTTTCAAAAAACCAGATGGTTCTCAAAAGTCCAGAAATAAATACAAATTCTAATACAACTCAAAAAATAGGGGGGAAAAAAAAATCAACAAACTAGGGTATATTTATATAAGATAACTACTGTTCAATCTTACACCTTTTTTAATAATTTCTTCAATTTTCTGGACATAACTCCTCAATTCTTTTTGCAGACGCTGGACTTCCTGCATATTTTGATGTTCTTTTTTATTTAAATTTTGCTTGGGGTCTGCTCCTGTGTCATGGGTGGGTGGAGAGTCCAAAACAGCTGGTATTGGCTTTCCCTCTTTAACTACGCAGAGATAAACGTTGGCATCAGAGCTGGCAGACACCCCTTGGGAAGGCTGGTTGAGCCTCTGCTGACATGTCAAGTGAATCTGAGACTTCAGGGCATTTTTATTTTCTTGACTTGCAAATACTTCAGTCTTCTGCTGTTGTGATTTCTGGGTCCACACCGGTGTACTGACCACATCTCCAAATACCTGCTGTTTTATTTGTTCTTTGAGACGTCTTTGTTTGATGTCCCTTTTTGCCAGCTGAACGGCCAATTTCAGTCTCTCTTCAGATACCACTGAGAACAACCCAGAGCTTCTCAGGCTGGCGTCCTCACTTCCAACTAGATTTCTCTGATCACTGGATGCTTTCAGTTTTTCTATTATAATTGGACGGGGGTGAGAGAATCTGAGAGCCAAGTTCTCTGGAACTGCAGGAACATTTCTATTAAACTGGAGCTGTTCAAAGTGTAAAAAAACCCAAATGTTATAAAGAACACTATACACAGGTGATGCAACTCTGTCATGAGGGCATCATTTTGGATTTGTGCTGAACACAGTGCTAACAGCACACCAGTGTTTTCATTTTAGCTAAACAGTGCTCACTCAAGGTCAAGGCCTTTTCTGCTCCTCACCTGCTCACCACTGAGTAGCCTGGGAGTGGGCAAGAAGCTAGAGAGGAAACAACTGGATGGCTGACCCAAACTGACCACAGGGATATTCCACACTCTACGGCACCATGCTCAGCAGTAAAAGCTGCAGGGAAGAAGGAGTAAGGGGAGACTGGTGACAGCCTTTGTCTTCCCAAGTCACTGCTATATGTGCTGAAGGGGTGGAAATGGCTGAAATCCTGCCTGCTGATGGGCTGTAGAGAATGAATTCCTTATTTTGCTTTGTTTGTGCACAAACAGGAAAACATTTGCTTTCCCTGTTAACCTACCTTTATTGCAACCCACAACTTTTCACACTTTTTACCCGCCAGTTCTCTTCTCCATCCCAACTGGGAGAGAGTGAGCAAGTGGCTGCATACTCAGCTGCCTACTGGGATTGAACCACAACAGACAATTAAAATAATTACACGTAGAATTTGTGATCTCTACCCTTACTAAAGGACAGTATCGAGATAACGTGGCAGCACAAGGAAAGCGAATATGACACTCCCTGTTGGGCCGCCTCATGAAGTAGGTCAGAATCATGTTTTTGATACAACCACAAAGAAAACCAATTCAGCATCGCTACAGATGGCAAACGGTACCTGTGTTTGTAAAGCTTTAGGTTCATTCGTGTATCGCTGGGTGGTGAATGCAAACGCATCCTCAGACACCGCTGTCTTGCTCGGACCCATCTCATCGGCTTAAGAGCAAACCCCGCTACTGTCCCATGCTTGTGATCACCGCTGTGAACGCGAGAGCAATAAACCGTTATTTCAGACTCGCAAAAGCCATCCCGGGTGTGGTGTGAGTAACAAAGGGAGAACCAGCCCGACGAGCCGCGGAGAGAAGATCGGGGCGGCCTCTCTGCAACCGCTCCGAGCCCGCGGCTGCTCCCGCCGGGCGCCCTCACGGCGTCCCGGGCAGCACCGGCGGGCCCCGGGCGCTGCCGCACGGGAGACAGGAAGAAGGGAGGAAGGGAGAGAGGGAGGAGAGAGGGAGGAGAGAAGGAGGAGAGAAGGAGGAGGACGGGCGGCCCGGGCCGCGCCTGGACCCACCGGGCGCCGTTCGAACCCGCAGGGGCCGCCGGGAGCGCGCGGAGCTACGGCGGCCGCGCGGGCCGGGCCGGGCGGAGCCTCCGCCGCTGCCGCCATGGGCTGGGAGGAGATGCAGGTCCGCGGGTACCCCGAGTTCGTGCGGACGGCGCAGAGCTACCACGGCCGGCCCATCTTCGCGCTCTTCTGCGGCGATAAGGACGCCGAGGGAAAGAGCTGGTGTCCCGACTGCGTGACGGGTGAGGCCCGCGGGGGGAGCGCCCTGCCTGCGGCATGGGCCGTGTCGGTCCTGGGGAAGCCGGAGAGGCCCCGGGGGCCTTTCCGGAAAACACCGGGCGGGCAGAGCAGCCCCAGTGCCGGTGCCAGGCTCCAGGCGCAGTTTGCCCTGGTGAACTGAGCGGGCTGTGACCCGCAGCTGCTGCACTGCCCTTCGCGTTGCCCACATCGAACGGCACGGGCTGTTGGCGAAGGCTGGTGCACGGCCCGACAGACAGACAGACAGACAGACAGACAGACAGACGTGAGTCCTACGGTCACTGCTGTCACTGCTGTAGGTGTCGAGGCGCAGCCCTGCCCTCCCCGCCGGTGGCAGCAGGGGAAGGCGGTTCTCAGCAATCACCGCACTGAACTGCCTGGGCTGCACGTGTCTGAGCAGGTATGAAGGTGCGTTATGGAACCGTCGCCCTGCAGAAGGGTTCTGTGCTGGGCTGCCACACCCAGGACAGGACAGAACGAGTGTTTCTCTTCGTGTCAGAGAAGAAATTGGCCTTTACTCAAACACAAGACCAGTCAGCGTTCGAGCACGTAATAAACTCTGAAAAACTTGAGGATAGCCAGGTGAAATGAAATACAGATCTATAACTAAAGCAGACAAAATATTAATTAGCAGTCTTGCTGGGCAAATTAAATCCATGTGATTATGTAGCACAAGTATTAACTACTAACAGATTTTAAAACTATTTTCTAGCTGAGCCAATTGTGAGGAAGGAACTTCATAACCTGCCTGAAGACTCAGTTTTCATCTACTGTCTAGTAGGAGATAGAGCATAGTAAGTACCTTTGAACGCTGACAAATGAGATGACTTTGCTGTATTGGCGGACTGGTGGTTAACCTGTTGAAAAACTGACTGAGCTGTCCTTTTCTGTAAGGAGTTAATCATTTTTTGAGGTCTTCACCCTCTCTGCCATAACCTATCTGCATGCTTATTTTGAGAAGGGGGGTGGGAAGGTGTGAGGCAAAGGCCTTTGAATAATTTCGAATATTTGAACTTCAACATGCCCTTCTACAAGCTGTGTTTCATGCCTTCTTTCTGAACAGCTGGAAGGACCCCAATAATGAATTCAGGAAGAATCTGAAACTAACAGGAGTGCCTACACTACTTAAATATGGAACAGTAAGTGATTTGTTGTATGTTCTGGATCTACAGGCATTGAGATGGGGACCTGGCAGGAATTTAGGGCTGTAAATGAATTAGTCACGTGTATCCTCTCAGAGCCCTCTCTTGTTCAAGACCAGAGCATTTTGAGCAGCTCTTCTGCTCCCTGAACTCAAACAGTTCCTCAAGAGAGAACCATTCTGCTTATTGTGTAATGTCTATAATAAACATGCAGCAAAGAGAATATATGCACTTGGCTCACAGTGCTTGAGGGGTTGAGAAACTTTTTAGCTATAGATTTTTAATGTTCCTGCTTTGCAGCTCCTCAACTTTTGAAAAATCCAAATGCTGAACTACAGGAGTGAAAGTATTTATGAGCAGTACACTCGACTCAGACTGCAGCTCAAGTTGTAACTTGTTAGTTAAATTAGCAGTTGCTTTCTTAGAAATGCCTCTTCCAAGGCCAGAAAACCCTCAGGAATGTTTCAGTTATTACCTTTCTTATTCCACCCCCACTACCTCACTCCCCAGGACAACAGTTGCTGGACGTGGCTAATGCTAGTATGTATAAATGGCTCTCAGCTAAAACAGGTGTTTTAATCATGAACTTTTCCTTTCAGCCTCAGAAGCTGGTCGAAGAAGAATGTTTTAAAGCAGACCTTGTGCGTATGTTGTTTACTGAAGACTAAAGCGCTCACTAGTCAATCATTGATGAAGATGGTCATCCTAATTACTGCCATGTCCTTTCAAGGAATCACTGACCTTTATTAAAACTTTCATGATTACTTCGGACTAGTCAAGATAAATGTCCTGAAATTCTGGGTCCAAGCCTTACACTAAAATCTTACAACAAAAAACTGTATCTTTCCTTTAATGTCCAAATAAACTTCAGTTTGCAAACAACCTCTTTTCAAAGGAGCTGAGCTCATGTTAGAAACTGAGATTACCCTGCACTTACTGAAGTGTAACTGACTGCAAAGTTACAGTGAGTAAGGAGAAAGGGGAGAAACAGAAAAACCTCCTTCCTAAGCCTGACCACATAATTACTGAAACTGTTAAGACAAATTTTCAATGCCATAGATGTTTAATGGTTTATCAGTTCAGTCCAAGTGTGATAACGTGATGGCTGACAGCTGTAGTGTCACTGATCACATGTTAATGGTTAACAGTTGGGAGTACCTGCTCCTACAAGGGCAGGAAATACAACATGAATGCACCAGAAATATATTCTAAAAATATGAAAATTAAAACCCTGGCAGCTGCCAAGAGCTATGTTCTTACAAGAACAAATGGCAAGTGCTTCTCCAATACTCCAAGCAATGGCATGTTTCCCCATGCACCCTCTTCTCGTTACATGGAGTGCAAAGAGACTCCTCCAGCCATTGCTGCATGGGCAGAGGCCAAGATTTAAGGAAGCTAAGTTTAATGGAACAAAGACAGCTACAGTTTGTTTCCTTCTCTGTCCTGCAGAGTTTATCAGCACCCATCTCTGCTCTACTCCCCAGACCTCATCCTGTACACTCCTGATTTCTATCCGTACAATGTGCTGTAAGTAAAACTGCAAAACTTCCATCAACAATGATTGCCAGGGAAACAGAAGTAACAAGTAATAGCTCAGCTTGGTTTCAAGGAGAAACTGCACAATTTTGACTTTGTCTATCATCACTTCACCTTTGCTTGTCCCAGAGCTGTAAGTTCTCAGTGACACTTTAAGACACATCAATATTCTCCAGGGAAAAAGCTTCCTAGGAACAGCCTTTAGAGCTACGCTTCTTTGTAGAGACTTAGTAACAAATCTAGGTTTTATCTTCAAAATAAAAATGAATCAATAACTATTGTAGTAAAGGTCTTACAAAATTGTCCATGCTATAAAATAAATTGCATATGTTTATTAGTCTTTAAAAAGAGATGATGAAACAAAAACAACCCCAGTCATTTGACAAATTCAAATAAGACAGACGTACGTCCAGAGCCAAACTTACACAAGGGTTCACTCGTCTCCTGTAAATACTTCACTAACACAAAGTACACCTTCCCATCACTACTCCACGTGCTTTTCATTTTACAGAGGTGTTATTTTGTTGCTGCTGCTCTGCCAGTGCCTGCTGGAGGCGCATCCTTTTCCGTGAGTAGTGCTGCCAGTGGAGGATCTGTTGCTCATCAATAAATTTGGCACACTGAGCATTGACCAGTTCTTTGCGGAAATGTTCATACTGGAGCAGCTCTAGCATATGCAAACATTGAGGGTACCTGGGTTAAAAATAAACACACTTTAATAAAGGTTTTTTACAAGGGATACTAAATCTAGAGTCTCAATTACTTCTTGGGGTTATTATTTTAATTTTGACTCGTATGTGCTTTACCCAAGTGTGAAACCACTTCAGCCTGCACAGTGACTTGGTAACTGCAGCATCAGGCCAGGAAACAAGGAATCCAGTCCCTTAATTAAGAAATTAATAAATGCACATTCCTGCTTGCTTAGAGTAGCTTCCCTAATGGCTTGGGTTTGGTAGACCAAATCCATAGCAATTACAATGCCTGTTTCCAGAGCCCAATTAAAGGACACGACTGAAACCATTTTTCCAAAAACTGAAGGAATTTGCACACATGCAAAAACACAAAATCACCCTTTGTCTCATGTAAGCATTAATAATGCAAAATTCATCTTAAAATGCACTTACTGCTTTTTTACCCGAATGTTCAATAGTTTGATTTTAAACAAATCAAAAGCACAGATTAAGACTTTAAAGGAAGATTCTATGCAAAACTAATGAAATTTTTATAATTTTGCTCATTGCTGCTACACATGGATTACTGGAAACAGGAAAAATCTACATTGCATATAATTATAATCTTGCATAATCTATGTTGCAGGGAGAACAAAAGTAAGGTTACAGGCAGGAATTAAATCCTGATATGCTGCTGTACAGTGTGTAAAATGAGGTCAGTGCCAAACCATTAAAATGCAGAAACTTAAGAGAATTTAGCACTTACTTCAAATATTTTGCGTATTCAGGTTCTTTCCAATAAAGTAAATATTTCAGGTAATTTACAAAAGCTTTATCTTTGAAGTAGCCTCTTTGTGCAAGGACTGAAATAGAATGACAAATAAGGAATTGTCAGTTACAGATGGGTGAAAAAAATCTGCACACTTGAAAAAATTCAGTCAAAACTTCCATCATCTCATCAAATTTCAATAATTTATATTTGGCAAATAAAAAAACACACGGCAAAATAAGATTTATATGTGAAAACAACAGATTAATCTCATCTCCTGTACAGTTTGTCTCTTTCATTGAATGGAATGGCTTTTTGACTGTAGCATCAAAATTAGCACAGAGTTATGTATAGCACCTGAAACTTCACATTAGTAAAATCCTGTAATTCACGTTAGTAAAATTCAGATAAAGGAATGCTGTTAACTTGGCATTACTTTTTAATAATAGACTGGAACTTGTTCTTTTCTTCCTCCACCAAATAGTTTTTTTTTTCGCATTCCATCCAACAAAAAGATTTTGCATTAAAAAAAAAAATCCACCTGTTAAATTATTTACAGACTACCTTTATGCTGTAAAAAACCCTATTCTTTGTTTAGCCCTCTCTCCATATTTAAATTGCCAGTAACAATAAACATGATTATATTAACTCCTCCGGATATTGGTATTTACTTTAAGTACTCACAGTTGAGGTAATTTGGATTTGCCAGACATTGAACAAACTCCAGCTCCAACTGGAATCGAAGTCGATTTCCTGTATCATCTGATGCAAGAAAAATACCAGTAAGAACTGGATCCACACAAAGATAGAAAGTAATGGCGGTCCATGTGTCCCCCGGGCCCAAAGCGGGCTGGGGGCGGGCGAGGGTCAGGGCCGGCGAGCAGGGACAGAGAGGCCTCGGGCCTCGGCCTCACAGGGCCCCAGCGCCGCGCTCCGGCCGCTCCCGGCAGGCCCGGCGCTCCGGGGGCCTGGACGGCTCCGACAGCGGCCGCACCGGCCCCGTACCAGCCCGTACCGGCCCGCACCGGTCCCGTACCGGCCCGCACCGGCCCCGCACCGGCCCCGTACCGGCCCGCACCGGTCCCGTACCGGCCCCGCACCGGCCCCGCACCGACCCCGTACCGGCCCCGCACCTGCGTCCATGTCCGGCGGTGAGCGCGCCCCCTGCCGGCGGTACGGCGGAACGCAACGCAAAGCACACTGGGAAAGCAGCGGCCATTGCCTAGCAACAGCGGGGCTCGGTCGGAGGCGGGGCTCGGTCGGAGGCGGGGCTCGGTAGAGGCGGGGCTCGGTAGAGGCGGGGCTCGGTCGGAGGCGGGGCTCGGTAGAGGCGGGGCTCGGTAGAGGCGGGGCTC